TTGTAGGGATCCGACGTCACAAGATGCAAAAATTCGACCTCCCACCCGCCCTTTTGTGTCTAGGCAGGTAGACTTTTTCACTGGGCCATAAAATTATTTTTCGCGATTTGATCGGTTTATGCAAGAACTATATTATAGTAACTTATTAGTGTAAATTGAGGTAGTTTTGAGGGTCCTATTGGTAAATTTTTACCGGTTTACGAATTAAACGGCTTCGAAATATTTACATTTAACCGTTTCCGGACACGACGCTGCTTCAACCGGCACCTGCAAGCCAAAAATACGATCACTATTAATAGTTTTATGATACTCAACCGACTCACCGGCGGCCGTAGCGCCTGTTGCCTGGATAAACAAGTACCAGAAAAGGGGAAAATTACTGTTTTATATTTTTATTGTTTTTGTTATTATTGTTTAACACTTATATGCATTTTTTACAAACGTTTTTATTAAAAAAGTTGTAGCGGACAGCCGCTCGGGCGGGCAGAAAGAACTAAAATTCCTTTACTTGAAATAAAGGATAATTATACCGATAAATTTATTTCTTCGAAAAATGCCCAGACGGCTATTAAAACATGCCAACTAAAGGAAAGGATTTTGTAGTTATTTCTGCTACAAAAGTTATTATTTATAAAATACTTACCTATGGTCATACGGACAGTTGGTTATTATTTTAAAATCACACCACTTTTTAGAGGACGCGCACCTCTTACCTCATCATGTTCGGCTTCAGGACTCCAGCCAAGAAGCAGCTTAGCCACGAAGACCAGCAGAGGACTCCTGAGTTCCCGCCTATAGGAGGGCTGAAGAGTGAGCAGTGGAAATATGGACTTAACCATTTGGTCCAATCAATTTGGCATAGATCGACAAAGAAAATAATAAACTTGACATTAATTATGAAGGGACTATTATTGAACAAACCAGTACAAAATTCCTAGGAATAGAGTTAGATGACAACTGTACCCAACTGTACCTGGAAAATTCAGATAGAATTTTATTTATTTATTTATTTAATAACAATCTTAGCTCTAACATTACAGGTTACCCCAATGCAATATCTACGGGATAAACTCAATCGTTACGTATTTATTGTACTGAATAGACTGAGTCACATTAATCTGCAATAGAAACACCCTGGCGGCATAATATCACGCGTATGTACCATCTCATGTAATATTTTATTTAGTTACTAATTTACTAATGATGTCGATAGATGGCGTTTGACGGCTTTGCATTCATGAATATTTACAAACCTCAAAAATTTTTGTACGGCGCGAGAAGATTTTAACCAATGACGATAGATGGCGCTTTTCCACGTCTTATGAAAATCCCAAATATTTTACGGGACCCTATTTTTTTTTAAATAAAATTTAGCCTATGTTACTCGTGAGTAATGTAGCTTTCGAATGGTGAAAGAATTTTGAAAACCGGTCCAGTATTATCCATTACAACCAAACAAACAAACAAAGTTTTCCTCTTTATAATATTAGTGTAGATAACACGCAATAAGTGCGAGCTAGGCAGGTAAAATCCACGCTCTCTTGTCATTTATGGTTTATGGTAGACATTTACTTCTCTAAAAGAATTCACTTACAAGAGAAATACAAAATTAACCTTAAAACTATAGATTCTTTAAAGTTTATAACAATTTTAATATTTTTTGCATACAATAGCAGTCACTCGAATATTAATATATTGGCCATTCGTGGGTACACTAAGAAAACAGTAGTTATTATTCGTAACGACAGGTCCAATTACGTATCGTATTCTAGTTTCTATGAGAATGATTACTTAAGTCACTTTTTTTTAAATAATAGTTTACTTTATAGTATCGTTTTTTTTTCATAAGGATTTTCTTAACCTGTACTTTGAATTTATGAATAGGTAGTTTCTAGGACAATCTCTTATGATTGTGGTTATTTTATTAAACATTTTAACACTATTTCCCAAGAATTACCTACCTACCTACTTTATGTAGTTTGAGATTTGGAACGGCAAGTTTATTTTTATTTCTCGTATTAAAGTTATGAGAGTCACTTTTATTACTAACTAGCTGACCTGGCGAACTTTGTTCCGCCTTAATGGCAATAAATAAGCAGACTTTTTTTTAAATTTCGAACAGGATAAAAAGTATCCTTCTCCTGGCTCTAAACTACCTTCCTGATAATTTTCAGCTAAATCGGTTCAGCCGTTCTTGAGTTATAAGTGGTGTAACTAACACGACTTTCTTTTATACACCGTGTTACTTTGCATTCTTGCCATATTCACAGAGATAAAAGTAGGGAACAATACCTATTATTTAAGATAAACAAGAGACCCCCATAAAGAAAGTACACTAAGATTTTAGTAAATTTGGTTTTTCAGTACAAATTGGAATAAACCCATTTTGTCTCATACGTTCTACAGGTGCAAGTGGAATAAACCTAGTGGGCGTGGCCTAGTTCTTAATAATCTGTTGTTTTATGGCTCTGGGTACCAGCCTTTTTATCCAGTCATAATAATTATTTTAAAATACTCTTCAGTTGATTTCAGATTTTCCTTTCTACTTTACGGGCTTAGGACCGTCAAAAATACGTAATAATTATTAGGGTTTTAATTAATTTTAACATTGTACCCTATTTTTACAAATTAATAAAATAAGTATGAAATGAAATCACCTTATTCACAATTAATTATTTATTTATAAGTTCCTACTTACAAAGTTTACGTACTGCGAAGCAAGTGTTCAAAGTGTCCTCCGTTCTGAAGAAGGCACAGTCTAGCACGGCGAAGCGTAGGTTTTTCGCTTTAGTTTTCGCAACACATAAACGATTTGTCTCACAGTTTCACTAAAACAATCCTTTCATGTAACGCGTTTACACTGTTTATCTCTTCTGCGCATACCAGTCGTTTCAAGTCACTCCAAAAATCCATTGGTGTCAGGTCCGAGGATCGTGGTGGCCAAGCTACTGGACCACTTGTCCAATCCACTGTTCACCAAACGTATTATTCGCGCACTTGACGTCCTTATTGTGGGGGAGCACCATCCTGCTGCTACTAGAGCATTTGGTGTAACGCTAAGGGTACGTCATCAAGCATTTCGTCTAAGACGTCTTGCAGACACTCCAAGCACCATTTTGATTAAATTATTCGTTGTTTGAATACTCTTCAGACATTTTTGTATTATTTATAACGTGATTTCTCAGCGTGATTTGTGATTGATGGATTTCTCAGTTTTTTCCAAGTGTCAAAAAGACATTTTAAAGACAATTGATTGCAATAGATATAGTTCCAAAATACTGGACTGTCCTGTCGATGACATTGACAGTGGGGCGCCACCGTCAATACCGGATCGCTGGTTCAGATTTTTGCCATGTTGGAAACCATATAGTTGAACGATGGTAGCGCCCCCCTGTCATTGAGTTTGGTGGGACAGTTCACCGTGGGTCATCTATATTTAAAAATACAATAAAAAGTAAAAAAGTCTTCATCGCCATCGCCAACAAGTGATGTGCATGCGTTACGATAATTAGTGATGTGTTTAACAGATTATCGATAAAATAAAATACTCAAGATTAAAAAAAAAATTTTTCGGGTATTATTTTTTTAGGGATTTGTGTTCAGTATCAGTAATATAGTAACCTCTGTAAATATGGCAAGAATGCAAAGTAACACCCTGTATATATAGAATGTATTTAGGTTGAATGTACTGTAGTGGTCTTCTTCAGACGTTGACGTTGGCTTATGTAAGGCTTCCATCGTCCATGGGAGGAACGTTTGACGCTGACCTCGTACGCCGCGTACAGCTTCTAAGGAAACCATAGCCTTACATCAAAAAATGATGTGGCTAACTCAATTTTGTAGCTTTTGAGGTTGATTTCGTGTTGAGAGTATGTGGTACTTACCTAATGCGAAGAATAATACCGCAGTTCCAAATCCGTGCATTTATTTCCACACAAACGAAGGTAATACACACACGCCACACGCCATGTCAATAACACAAGAAGGAGAAGCGATGGTTCACTGCGAAGAAAGTATAGAACACACAAAAACGGGAAGATCGGAGCTAATTAAAGTACGCGTCACTAACAATATGCACAAGCGGGTAGCGAGAAGAAAAGCCGGCGCGCACGAGGGACGCGCGGTCGGTGCGGAGCAGTGATGCTAACTGACATAAAAAATAACTCCAAATTATTGTTTTCTGACTTAGGAGTTGCAATAAATGGCAATGGAATAACTTTTTATATAGCCCAAACTCGAAAATCGCACACTGCTTTTTAGATTTTTTTTGTCTCTGACGGAAAAATTACAATAGTAGGTAATTTTATACAGGGTGGAATTTTGTAATGCCACCTGGAGGGAAAGTACCAGTATTAAACTGTAGATAGAAAATGTTACTCAAAGAAAACATTCCTTTATTAATTTATGAAAAGAAAGAGAACTGCATTCAAAAAATTTCGAAAATTTTACAAAAATTGTATTTTGATTTAATTGTATATTAGTAAGAGTAAGATATTATAGACTTGAGTATTTGATACGAATTTCAATTAAACACCTCTACGCGTTCATGAGGAAAGGAGTAGTAAGTTTCAATTATTATTAAAACTAGAGATGCACCGAATGTTCGGTTGAATATTCGTATTCGGTACATTCGGCATATTTTTTTCATGTTCGTATTCGGCCGAATGTTCGGTTGAATTGCCGAATAATTACCGAATATTAAAAGTATTGTTAACAATTAAAAAAATAATATTTAATTAAACAGTTTGGTTCACTAATTACTAAATAAGTGTGGTTTATAGCGAAAGTATTTTATAGTTTTTGAAAATGAACCAGAAACTACTTGTACCAATTATTTATTGTGAAATAAAAAGATAAATTTATTTTTTATGAAATTGAAAAATTTAAGGATACTGCCAAAACTGCTTTGAGTAACAAACAACTATTTTCAGAAAACTTTTTTTAGAATAGTTGTAATGTAATAACTACTATCTTAAGGAACCAACACAAGTATTCAAATATGTTTGACGGCGGCGTCATCGCACGCCGAACTTGTTACAAACTCGTAAACAACAGCTGCACCGTACAACGTCAGAGCAAGCGCCTTTCACTTTTCCCCCACCTCCACTACGGTTGTTTTGCAACGGGTATAAATCGAGCGCGCAGCGACGGAGCAGGCAGTCTTGGCTCTGGCGCGGCACGGTGCACACCTTGTACTATTGCTAAGCTGTTCCTAGACCTATTGGATAATTAATTTAAATGTTAAGTTAATTATTATCATTAATTATTAAAATGCCCATAGGCGCTTTATAATTAATTAAAATAAAGTCACTTGTGGTTAAAGCCTGAGCATTGGCCACAATTGAAGTGTTAGCTGTACGCTACTTAATTAAGACTAATTACTGAATCACTACCATTGATTAAATTGCTGTTCTTATAATTAATAAAAATAGCTATATCTTGATATCTCTGCCTTATTAATTCATCCTGTCCGACTCACTTCCTACATCTGAAGTGGGATACGGCTCCACCCCCACATTATAGTCAGACCGACACAAGCAGTAAAATGTCTCAACAACAAATGTCTCTTTTCTCTGGCATGGAGGCCATTTTCCGCAAAATTGCAGATAGCATGAGTTCACGACAGAGCTCTTCATCTATTCCAACAATGCTGGTATCTTTTGATCCAGATGCCCCTGAGTCCGATATCACCAATTGGTGCACGTTAAGCGAAATGATTATTGAAAAAAGGAATATAGAAGGTGTTGACCTGATCATCGCACTTACACACTGCCTTAAGGGCCGTGCTGCTACCTGTCTAACAAAAATACAACCTGACAAAATTTCTTGGCCTGCCATCAAGGACATGCTTATTTCCAATTTTTCCAAACCCATGATGATGCAAGATCATTTTGACCAAATAATTAAGTTTCGCCTTGGTAATAAGGACAGCCCAGCCGAGGCAGGCTTGCGCCTTTGGCGACTTATAGAAAAAATTCCTGACGCTAACTTACCCGAACACGTTATCACAGGTTTCGTGGTATCAGTTTTATCTCAATGCAACGATACAATTCGGCTTGAACTTAATTCTGTAGTCGTGAACGATAAGCACCAACTCTTCCGTATATTGAGAGGTTTCACACTTAAAAGTTGTAATGACACTTCTGAAATTGATACTGCTGGTTCTAGTACTTTGACTGCAGAATATGTCAACTATCATGCTACTAGGTCATGTACAAGTTCAACAGATTCTGTGAATTCCATTTCCGTATATTCTGAACCTATAAATATTGTAACACAAGCTGATGCTAATGATAGTGATTAACTCATGTTTCGCAATCATTTATTGTAGGGCATAGCCGGGCCAATAATGACTAAGTAAAAAAAAAANCTGAATCACTACCATTGATTAAATTGCTGTTCTTATAATTAATAAAAATAGCTATATCTTGATATCTCTGCCTTATTAATTCATCCTGTCCGACTCACTTCCTACATGTTTATAAAATCAAATAAGTTTTTTTAAATAAATATCTATCTAGGAATGTAGGTATGCTAGTGAATGGTGAACTAGGAATTGTTATAACTATTTGTAGTTTTAATTCAATGTAAGTCAAATAAAATTCTTTAAAATCAACAATAAACAAATTATATCATCCGTTCACAAATGAAATTAAAAAACAAATTTATAGAAACTTTAAGAGTCAACATTAGTTGGTAATTTAAGTTTTAATCAAATTTGAACCGAATGATTCGGCCGAACATTCGTATTCGGTTTAATTTACATTCGGTGCATCTCTAATTAAAACTATTTTTATTTATGTGATGTTACTGAAAATTTACGGGTTTCGCAATTTTTCCATGATCTGTTGACGTTGCTTCCTACCAAATTTCAAGATTATAAGTTCACGGGAAAAGTACCCTGTAAGACTTGGCCAATTTACATAAATGAATCACTTTTTTTAAAATGCGAGCCATTATGGACTCGTCTTTTACATGAAGAATATTTTTAGTATACTAGCTTTCTAGGACTTCAAAAGTATGGATTTGGATAATCATCAGTAAGTGCACATCAAACCCAATTTCGTTCCTGACGTCTCATACAAACGTTAAGAGTTACTTAGTAAATGATAGCATTATTATTATGATTTATGAAATTTATTGTTTCGGTCTACACAACACGGCCACATTAAAATAATTACCACTTGACTAATAAAGTCTCGGCTGTTGGGAAGTGTGAAGCGGCAGTTGAGAATCGTGTCGGTTTATTTTGAGATTTGCTGTCGGGGCACTGCGGGGAAGACTGGGGCTTGGTGCAGGGGTTCCGGGGGATAGCAGTGGCGGGCGCGCAGGGGCCGCGGCGGGCGGGCGCGGCGGGCGGCGGCGCGCACGGGCTCTGCTTGGAAGGCGACGGAGAGCCGTTTCCAGGCTTAGCAGCTGGTGTCATCTCACATGGATTAGGCAGCGGAGCTGGCTTCGGGGTCGGCGGTCGTGGCCTCGGACACGTTTCAGGTTTCTTGTCTTTCGCTATCTTCACACTATCGTTCTTTCGGCAACCAGCAAGTTTCTTATGGAAACTTTTTAACGAGAGCCAGGATTCGTTTTTATTACTTTTTGGCGGAGCATTATCAGATCCAGAACAGTTCACCGTGGCGGCTTGGGGCTTACAATTTATTTTACATGAAGTTTGAGCCCCATCAAGTGAAACTCTTATGCTTACATTCTGGGCGCCTGTGGGGACGGGAATATCCAAACTACCAGAGACTGTGTTTTGGGCATCTTTCTGCGTTTGTCCTTTATCAGTCACGATCCGCCCTCGTCCAGCTTCTTGAAGAGTGTCCCTTTCCTTTAATGCTTTTTTTAACGATTCTGTGTCTGCGGTCTTTTTTGATGGGGAAGTAAGCACTGACTCGTCCTGGCCCTTCTGACAGTCTCCGAGAGCAGAGGGTGCAGCAGAGTGACTTCTGGCGGACGAATGAATGGACCGTCTACCGTCGGTCTCTTTTTTCTTCTGGGAACAACGGCTCGGTGTTCGACGTTTTAGCTTTTCGTTAAAACTTGGCTCTCGACAGACTGGAATCGCCGGATTCGGCTTCGGCTGAGTGTGACACCAGCCAGTGTCACCGGCGCGATGCGCACCCGTAGTTTCACATTTCGCTCCACAGGAACTTTTCGGGCACGAGGCATCGGAGGTTCGACTCAAGCTGAGCCGCTCCATAATTCGCGAAGCCATGTTCGTTTTGAGAGACGAGCGATCGGGAGCGCTCGGCCGGGCGGCGGCCGGGGACGCGCGCGCAGGGGAGGCCGGCGGCGGGGCGGCCGGCGGGGCCGCGGGGCGAGCGCTCCGGTCTATGTCGATGATGGTCCGGGGGACGTGCGCGCAGGGGTCGACGTGCGCGCCGCGCCGGATCGTGCACTCGGCGTCGCGCACGAGCTCCACGCAGCGCGGCGGCGGCGGCTCGCGGCCCGGCCCGCACGGCGCGGGCGGCGCGCGCTCGCACGTGAGCGCGTAGTTGCGGCCGTCGGTGGCGCGCGCGCACTCGCGCTCCGCGCCCAGCGAGTAGCCCGCCGGCGGCGGCGCGGGCACGACGTTCGACGGGCGCGCGGCCACCTCGCGCTCGTAGTCCAGGCGCCGCTCGCGCTTCGCGATCGACAGCCGTTCGGCGACTCGGTCCCTGCGGAAGCCGCAGCCCTCGGCCGTTACACACTTTTTCGGAATCTGTAAATTAAAATGATTCGTGACGAAAGAGTTTCATAAATTCTAAAATTGTATAAATCATATTGATCAATGTCGCATCGATGAATCTAGGCAGGCTCACAGGTTCGGTCGCAGCGCCACAGGTGAGCGGCGGGCTGCAGGGCGGCGGCGGGCAGGGCGGCGCGCGGCCGGCGGGCGGCGGGCAGCAGACGCGCACGGCGGCGGCGGGCAGGGCGCGCAGGGCGGCGGCGCGGCGCGGTCGCAGGAGCGGCTGGCGAGGCGCGCGCCGGCGCCGGCTCCGCTCCTCACCTCGCGCTGGACGCGCGCCCAGGCCCCGTGCGCGATGCGGAGAGCCATGGTGGAGCGTGGCGTGTGTGTGAATGATCCGACACGAAACCTTCGCGACTACAAAATTTATTTAGATGGCTACGGTATAAAACGAGTAGGCTTAGTAAGAAATTTCAAAACCGGCCAAGTGCGAGTCATACTAGCGCACGGAGGGTTCCGTGCTACGTTTTTGTTGTTGTGTGGGAGCCGCTTTAAATATTTTACAGGGTGTTTGGTGGAAGGTTAGACAAACTTCGTGAGTGTATAGGTAAGGTCATTTTAAGATCAGATCAACAAGAACAAGATCATCAGGTGATCCGTCTGCTCGTTTGCCTCCTGTCACATAAAAAAAAGAATACAAGTTCGCGCATTTGTCCCTAAATGAGCTACTATTTTTTAAGTGATAATTATTTTTGTTTTTGTTTTATATTTTCCAAAATTTGACCAAAAAACTATTCTGCGAATATGTATTTCAAGCGTCTACCTGTTGACGTTATAAATAACAACAAATTATAGTTACCTTACTATAAAAACTTGTTTTGCTCAATATAGCGGCAACAGAAATACATCATCAGTGAAAATTTTAACTGTCTTAGCTGTTCATGAGATACAGCCTGATGACACCGGCAGCGAAGTGTTAGTAAGGGCTCTTTCCCACGGAGCGGAGACATCCCGTTTTTTGCAGGAACTGTTTTTTTCGTGTTTTAATAACATTGACACGAACATCCCGTTTACAGTGCCCCGTAAAAAACCGATTTGTTTGAATTTGTAATTAACTTGTACGTTCACACGACAGTCCAGTTTGCATTACTGAATCCCGCGAAACGGGATTTCTGTGGGAAAGGGTCCTAATAGGGTTCCGTTTTTACCCTCTGGGTACGGGACCCATAAAAAGAACGTAGGTAACTATTTCCTGTTGATAGGTGAAATAATGTTTACCTATAAAAAATATGGGCTACATGAAAATTGTTTAATGTCGTCAGAACTAATCAGAAACAATCAATAGTAAGTGCAACTTCTTCCTTATTCATTCTGGACAGCGTAATCAACTCGAGTCGCAGGGCAGCCAGGTGTCTGCAGCAGCCCGGTCAGGTTGCGGCGTCGCTCGACTCCTCCAAACCTGTTGGATATTCAAATGTAAGGGCCTCCACTAAAACTTCGCTCCGTGCAAGCGCGCGAGTTTTAGCCGAGAGCTTTAGACTTTAGTACCTGGTCTACTTTCTTCCCAAATTGGCTCATTTTAACGACATAATAAAGAGGTGGATGTTATTTAAATTATTAGAATAGACTTTAATTCAATCTACGTTGTTTTTACTATGTTTTACCACAAAACTCTCGTTATCTATTTGAACAATCCTTTTTCAACCGACTTTAACAAAAGGAGGAGGTTTTCAATTCGGTTGGTATTTTTAATAAAATGATATAACACCGGGTTGATTATATTTAAATTTTCTTTAAAATATGTAAGTGGAAAAATGGAGGTAAACGAAATAGCGGATTTTGCTTTTCTACTCTTCTCTATCTCGTTCATGGTCACTAGAACAGTCCTAATGAACTGTCAATCTTCACTGACAGTATTATGGTTCGACAGGTTGTAAAACAGACACTGCGCAATCGGGCCACAAACCACAGTCACGCCACCCGGTGAGGGGCCGTAGCTCTGGCGGCCAGTGCGGCCACGGCGGCAGAGTAAATACAAATGACTAGGTCTTCTTCATAGAAACGCACCGAGCGCGGTTTGTATGTGAGCGCGCCAATATACTTACGTATGCGGCGCGCACGCACACACTGACAAAATTCGGCGCAACCACGACTGGCTCCCCGCTAATCCCCGCTAAATTTTGTCAGTGTGTGCGTGCGCGCCGCATACGTGTTGGCGCGCTCGCATACAAACCGCGCCCGTGCGTTTCTATGAAGATGACCTACTCATTTGTATTTACCTACTCTGATGGCGGCCTGCGCTCGCGCGGCACGAAAGCAAAGGACTGCGCGGGGCAGGAGTGACTACTGACGTAGATGTGGTCGGCGGCGAGCACGAGCAGCGTGCGCGGCGCGGGGGGCGCGTGTGGCTCGCGGGGCGTGAGGGGCGCGGGGGGCGGCAGCGCGGCGGCCAGCGCGGGCGCGGCGTGCGCGAGCGCGGGCCCGCGGGCGCCGCTGCGCGCGCTCCACACGCACACGGCGCCGGAGCGGCCGCCTGCTGGCCTGCCGATTGAATTAACCGTTTTAGTAACAAAACAAAAAAATCCGGAATCGATCGAGACCGAACGGGTATCGTTGTGCCCCCACCGAATGCTCGAAGTCGAAAACGGAGGGGTATAGAAGTTACAAACTGACAAAGTGTGTATGAAAATCACAACCCGGTCGAGTTAACTGCGCACCTGGCACTTGGTGTATTGAGTATTTTCATAGCATAGTTTTCGTAGTGAGAAGAATGCTATAAAATACCTTTTCTTAATTATTGGATTACAACTATTATTAAGTATGAATATTGAGACTCACGCAACTATGTAGCAGTCCGAGACAGCTGGATGCACGTAGTGAAGGTCGAACAGGGCGGGCGCGGGGTCGGGGGCGGGCGGCGCGAGGCAGCGCAGCGCGCGCAACGCCGGCAGCGCCACGCACGTGACGCGCGCGCCCGCCGTGCACGCCCACGCGCAGCGCCCGCTGATCGACGCACAGGAAAAAGTCGTTTGGCAGTGAGTTTCTGTGGTTACTTGAATCGTAATTTACATTAAGTGTTCGTGCGTGACTTGTGGGACAGAAAGTGCATAGGTCTCATTTATGATAGTCATAAATTATATTATTATTATAAATAAGATTCTTTTTTTTTTCAGCCAAATGACGTCCACTGCTGGACAAAGGCCTCCCCCAAGGTTTTCCACAATGAACGGTCCTGCGCTTCAAATTATGATTATGAGATCATAATCACAAAAGAGATTTTTTTAGGATATTTATCTATTGTAATTATAATAATAATAATAATAAGCCCCGCAGGGCAGCTTTGTGGCGAGCTGTTGGTGAGTAGCGACACCACGGGGCCAGTTGTTAATCCGAGTGCTCCCGAGAGTCGGTCAAGACCCTCGTCTTCGGCTTGCCGAAGTGGAATCCGAGAGGGTCTGCAGGACTTTCACCTCTGGCTTGCCTTAACCGGCCGGCCAGAGTGGAGTCGCTAGAGCTATATGCTCCAGGGGTGGAAGTGTTAAAGGGCATAACGCCGCGAGTAACTTCGGAGAAAGCGCAGCACACCTCTCTACACCCCTGAGCTGGCAGACGCCAATGTTGCCCCTCAGTCCGGTCTATACGACCCATGACGCCAGGGGGGGCCCATTTAGTCGCTGGCTAGTCACCGCCTGCCATTTATTCAGTCCGAGACTATGAACCAGGCAGGTGACCCGTAGTCTCCATCCATAGCCCAGTAACCAGTCCATCCATCCTTCATCCATAACCCTAGTCCATTCTCCAATAACTTCAATAGCTCCTGTGCACAGGCTGGGGATGGTCTCTGGTTACATCCCATGATATAGTCAGAGACTAGATCCAGCATGTGCACCACTTTCACTTTTGTCGATAATTTTGCGCTTAAAACGGCCTCTACGTGTTGGATCTGTATCCCCACGCAAGCCTTATAAAGGACCGGGCCACTTTTGACCCGTGAGCTCCAAAGCGTACAAACATAATAATAATAATAAATAAAAACCTTTATTCAACCAAGTTAACAACTTAGACAACATTGCCAGTGGTCCCCAAACTAGGTAACACCTGTCTCTTGGGGACTGGAGTACGAGGCTTGAAGTTAAATGGCGTTGTAAATGCACTTAATTAATCTTATCACTTAATTAATTATTTAATCTTAGTGCTTAGGTTTTGCTTCAGTTCACTCACTCAGTTTGTATGACAAGGCCGACAAGAGGCCCAGGCAGTCGGCACTCGTGCTCATGAGGTGTGCACATGGCCCGCACCGCGGCCTCGTCTAGTTCTGGTTCAGCGGCGTCGGCGTCGGGGTCGGCGGCGGCGGCGGCGGCGCGGCGGGCGGCGCGGCGGGCGGCGGCGCGCGCTCGCAGGTCGCCGGTCGCGAGGAGCGGCGGCGGCTGGAGGGCGCTCAGCCCCCACGCACGCAGTGCGCCGCTGGTTCCACTGAAACCGCACACTAGTGTCTGGAGTGTGGCGTGAGTTCTAGATTGCCCTACCTAAAGGAAAAAAAAAACATTTAAGGAAATGCATTCTTATTTCAAGGAGTACGTCGATAAAAAAGCTATCTTCGTGGGATATTATAACATTGACATCGACGGATAATTATTTATAATTATATTTCTTTCTATTGAAAATTTTATAAACCTGGCTTGAGTCACGGAGCGCCCGGTCGCCGGCGCAATCCAGCGGCGCCTCGGCCACCGCCACGTGCCTGCAACGCGCGCACAACACGTTAGCCGTGGAGAATGGAGACTACTGAACCAATACGACGCATACACCGCATACATTCATTATGTGAAAAATTTAGTTGTTTTATACATATAAGATTTATACCGTTTTGTCTAGTAAATATGACATGTAGTCATAATGTAGGTACTCGTACTAAATGTTAGGTAGCTACATAATAAATTGTTCCAAATTGTTCAAAGTTACATATAATTTAAGACTTTTGATCCAACTATATTTTACAGTTAGAATTATTATCCTCGTTGCGTGATCCTCAAGAGAAGTCACCTCAGGGCGCCTCACGTGATAGTCGCTTTCTCCTCGTTGTACACTCGCAGCAGCGGCGTTGTCACCCCTGCGTACTCCGACTGAGTCTCCTAAAAAGGAAATTTTTCGTTATTTTCTATCGGCTTCCTTATTACGTCAATATTTGTTTAGATAAGATAAGAAGCGTTTATTTGCCAGAATACAGGTTATAAAGTGAATAAAGAAACAATGTTTACGCGAGTTTATAATTATAGGAATCTGGATGATAACCGTCAATATTTGAGCGATTGCTTTAACCTCTCCTATGCTATGTCTCAAATCTGTGCAACCTCCGTCAACTGCTGTCTCAGATCTAAGACAAGACTACTTTGTCATTTTGAAACATCATTTGAAAACCGTAGCAGTTGGGGGTGCAGTTTTGCGCGGCTCAATAGCACGCCAAAGGTTAATAGTAGCAACAGAAAAGCCGGTAGCGACCTGCGTGGCCGCGTTGAGCCAGACGGTGGTGGCGTAGTGCGCGGCGCCGAGCTGGCGCAGCTCCAGCGCCACGAAGGCGGCGCCGCCCGCCCAGCAGCCGCCCGCGCCCGCGCTGCAGCCCGCGCGGCTCACCACGCACCACTCCTCCTCGCGCTCTGCGACACACGTGACCTGACCGTCGGCTCAGGGTTCTTACACACGAACAGCAAAAATAAAAAATCAAAATCAAAAATATATTTATTCAGTTTAGACCACAAGTGCTTATGAACGTCAATAGAAAATAATAAAAAAAGAAAAGGTAGCCCTTATGGAGAACTTTACATGTCTCCTTATCTTTTGGGCCCTACCAGCGCTTCGAGACAAACATGGCAAGTGCTGAGAAGAAACGCCGGAACAAACTCAGTCACCACTTATTGCCAGAAATTATCTAACGGTAAGAATAGTCAAATTTAAGTACATCAAATATGTGCAGACTGAACTGACCACGCATCTTTGCAATTTGCTGACGACGCATGTAACTGCAGTTGACGTCAGAAGGCGACGGCTAGCTGTCGACATGCCGCCGTGCTGACGACGCGTTCGCGGCTGCCGCCGGCTGGTGGCGACAGCTAGCCGCCTCCGCCATTTTGAAGGTCAACTTTCAGTAGTCCAGGAGCAAGCTTTTTAAAATAGTCGTAAGCTCGTCAAAAGACGCTATTGACATTCGAAAATAGTTATAATAATTTTTTGTTCATTTTTTCGTAATATTGGATAAAGAGTGAAAAAATGCCGTCTCGTTCTCTATTCAATAACATTTCTTCAACCCCCAATGACCGGTTCTTTCTCTTTCGTCGATGACGACGGAGTAAAAGCAACCACAGTGTTTCTTCAATGAAATCCTGTACAAAGGATTTCATTGAAGAAACACAACATTTTCAACTGGCTCCTGTACAAAGACGTACGCCGACACTGTCGCCGCAGCAAGCTGTCGACACGTCGACGGCAAGCTGCCGACAAGTGACGGCGACTGCAGTCGCTTTTGCTGTCATCAATGTGCTGCTCGTGTGTACGAGCTCTCACACTGGCGCACACGCTCAGCGGGCCGGCGCTCACCTTGCTGCTGCAGCACGAGCAGCTCCCAGCGGCGCGCGGCGGCGAGCGGGCCGGCCAGCAGCAGGCGGCGGCTGTCGGCGCGCGGCCACTCGGCGCGCGCCACGCCCCGCCAGCCGCGCGCGCGCACGCTGCGGCTCCACGCCGGGCGCCACTGGTCTTCTTCGGTTCGCTCCCAAATCTGATAATGACGAAAAATACGTGTATTATACATAGAAATAACTAATTATTATTCCAAGTTTACTCATTCATTATTTACCTAATTATATGAGAGCAAGAAGACGTATGAGTAACTTATAATAAGTATAAAGTACTTTTAGGGCCCTGCCACGCTGGTGGATTACGAGCGTTTTTAAAACAGAGTAGCACTCAAGTGTATCCGTACACCGCTCACTCAAGGCGGAAACGTTGCGCACCCGCGACGTGTTTGCCGCGCACATGCGGCGTGTTCGCTGCGGGGCCGCTCCGCAGAAAACGCTTGCAATCCGCCAGTGTGGCAGCTCACTTAACAGAGTGTATGTGTAGGTAGAATAATTAGTTTGTAAGGGCGAGGAGCGGGTGGCGTACCAGGACCGCGGCGTCGTCGGTGGCCAGCGCCAGGCGCGCGCCGCCGGGCGCCAGCGCGGCGTGCACCAGCGGCGCGCCCGCGGCCAGCCGCGCGCGCAGCTCCCAGGGCGCCGCCGCGTTCACGTACTCCGACCGCCATTCACGGCTCTCTTAAACACGCAGAAATGAAATGAAATAAAATAAAATAGACTGCATCCGTTGCTTCTTTTATATTGAAATCCTCCTGACTAACTAGTACCTATTTACCAATTTCATAGTGCAAGATACCATACTTTGATAAAAGTTCATAAAAAATATAACCCTCCTTTTGGCGCAGTCGGGTAATAGGTTCGCAAACAATCGCAGCTCTCGGCGGCTGCAGGGGAGCTTACCGTAGAGCGCGTCCAGCGAGGCTGCGCCGGGCGCGCGCGCCAGCAGGCGGCGCCACAGCGCGGGCGCGGCGGCGGCGGCGCGCCAGGCGCGGCACACGGCGCCCGCGCGCGCCAGCTCCGCGCCGCCCAGCCACGCGAACACCTCCAGCAGCGCCGCCTCGGTCAGCCCGCCCTCCGCCTGCCACACGTGCGCTTCGCAGACGTCGCTTTCGTTCTCCATCCATTGACCGTCACTTTCTCAATTTCCTCGAGTCCTTGATTTGTGCACTTTTTAAAACTTTGAAAACGCACGAAATGATTTTGTTATTTGCTTGGAACGAATGAGTACGCTTTGCGCTCTGTGGGTGAGGTGGGCGCGACGCGAGCGTGTAAATATAGTCGCGTAATAATAGCACAGTTTTACAAACTGCGGCGATAGTGCACATGCCACGTGACGGTTGCCGACGTCGCGTCCGGCGTTCGCTAGGCTGCTGCCGATGCCCATTGGTGATAGATAAGTGTTCCCAGTGAATAGTAGGTACCTATTATAGGCGGGACTGTGTTGCAGCAGTCAGGTTTAAATGTAATTGAAGGTGTCAATTATTAAACGGAATTATTGAAAATTCAACGTTATGCAAATATTCTATTAAAAAAACTTATTGAAAATTAAAACTATACCTATAAACAATAAGTACCTAATACAATTTTCTATCAAGTATTGTAAGCGTAAATAGTAAAGTTTAGAAAGCTTATTTTCCTGCAGCTGGTGACAAGGCAACAAGACAGTCGTGAATGTGTGCGCGAGGTCGGCGGTGGGCGGTCACATGCTGGCCATCTCCTTCTTGACCAGCGCCGTGTACTCGGCGGCGGCGTCGGCCAGGTCGCGGTCGCCCACGGCCGGGTCGGGCTCGCCGATGGAGTGCGTGGGGCTGCCCTCCTCCGCCTGGCGCATCTTCAGCCGGATCTCGCGCAGGCGCGCCTCCAGGATGCGCTCGCGCTTCGCCTCGCGCTCCAACATCTGGCGTGCAAGGAATGGGACGAGTCTACATTTGTACAAATGGATCAACAATAATACAACATCGAAATTGTTAAACAGAGTTAAGCTAGATACATACATCTGTAATGCGACGTACCAAGACGTCGATATAATAAGGCATCGCTGTATAAATATTATGTCGTAAAAAGGTTTTCGAAGAAACAAAATTCGATGTAACGGCTTTCGCACTCAACTTAAAAGTTAAATGTTTCTTTCATTTCTTTGTTTTGTGTTCCGAGCAGGTACAGATCATAAAGGCTGGAAAAATGGGAAAAAAGCTTATGGTATGTTTAGTACGTACAATAGTCATCAGACTCTTGTCATTCTTGTCCGATTGCGTGAGGCTGTGTGACATTTCTATCATGTAGATGTTGCCCTTGCGGCTGCCGCAAGCCGCCAGCGAGCCCTGGCGAGAGTTAAAAGTAGTTATTATTTTCATTTGGTTGACGTTTAATCCGTTTCACTTTTTTAAAGGTAATGCAGTAACTTATTATTAAGTTTATCGGATAGTCAAGCCATTATCTAGATCAGTGGTTCTTAACCGGTGGTCCGCGGACCACAAGTGGTCCACGAAGTGCACTTGCACACCTTGGTCAAAACCACTTTTAACTGATTTTTGCCGTCAAACTGGTTTACTTTTGACTGATTATGATTATGAGGTGGTCCCTGACAAGACCGAAAGGTAAATTGGTCTCTCATGACTTAAAGGTTAAGAACCACTGATCTAGATATTTAAGTCTTAAGTATTTCACGCTTTTTCAATATTATAATAAAATTATGACGGCTGAATAGTTTTATGAAAAGTAGCATAAAATATCATCTTTAAAAAAAATTAATGAAACGGGCGCAGTCTCACATACGAGGGCCTACATTATTTCTGTCCAGGGCTAAAAGTAACTGAATCATATTATTATTTTTGGTGGTAAACATGATTGGGAAGCGGCTGTATCGCGGCGTCGCGACGCATCGTACAGCCGCGGTGGAGTAAAGCAGCGGGACTGACCGCGTCCTGCATGGTGACGCGCAGCAGCGGCTCCTCGCAGGCCTGCATGGTGAGCACGGGCTCGTGCTGGCGCCGCAGCAGGTCCCACGCCGACACCAGCCCGTCCCACTGCGTCAGCAGCATCAGCGACAGTCTGCCGATACCAAATCGGTCGCTCACGTTACGGATAGGGCTTTACACAATTGCTTTTTTGTAACCTACATAAAAAAGCCATTGATTTCAGACCTTTAAAATATACCAAGTCAATAAAAATATTTATTAATAACCAGCTAATTATTTATTTAAACATTATAGACGTTTTGAACGTTTTCCATACAGTTTCGAAATGATTCGCTTAAGTTCATCAAGGAAGGACTAATTTATTTGGCGCTTTATTTATGTATACTAGCGGCCCGCCTTGGCTTCGCACGGGTAGGTAGCGGAAGCGGTAGAGGCATAAATAAAAGGAAGGATAGATTGCTGACGTTCATACACTGGTACAAACCTCGCGTAACTGAATCGCTAGATGGCGCTACTAGGCTCGGAAGAAATAAAATTATGTCCAATTCGACGAAATAATTATCATATTTCCGTGTTCTGACTTACCTATATTATATTTTATTTAATTTAATTTATTCAGTTAATAACAATCATATCTCTAACATTACAGGTTACCCCAATGCTAAAATAATAATACATAATATTTAACAATTACAATTGCCGCTATCGCTATAATATAAAATAAATAAATATTTTTTGTATCACCTATTACCCAAAAAAATACTAGGTAAATATTATTATCATAAAATTTAACTTTGATCTTGCTAATCTAAAACACGTTTTCGTAAGCTGCTGCTGGGCTGTAGTTAGAATAAATTCCGTTAGATGGCGCAATGTCATGTAAATATAACTTGATAAAATTACTAAAACAGCCGATTGTCACTGATTTGTAACGATTGATTAGTGGTTTGATCAGTCGGTGACATTTTAAAATCGATCCCCTGTAGAAAATAAAAATAATACTAACGCCCGTTTCTCATATTCAATCCTTGTCCCAATCCGGATTTCGAATTATTTTCAATCAAAATATCCACAATTTTTGATGCTTTTACACTTTAATATTGTTAAAATAGGCTTATAAACAATATGGAAATGTAAAAACATCGAAAACCGTAGATATTTTGTCCAAAAACCATAATTATTGAAATTTGACAGTATTGACGGACGGATTAGGATTAGGATTAAATATAGAAAACCAGCTATAAGTACCTACATTATTTTAACTCCTTCAAATACCTACTTAATATTCTAGTCGTCACATATTTAACTGCTCGGTTAACATTAGAAGCCCTCTAACATTAGAAGTCGGAGTACAAGGTATCGGCGACGATAATAATTTTACGCGAGGTAAAAACCAATCAAAATCAAAATTATTTAAGTATTCAGTTTAGACCACAAGTGGCACTTATGATGAATGTATGACGTTAGCAATCTATCCTTCCTCATTTATCTATGTATGGTATCAGTCAGCTGTAACGTTGCGGGTACTGGTAGAGGTAGAGCGGAGTCAGACCTGGTCGGGCTCCAGTCGCCGTCGGTGATCTTGTGGCGCTGCGGCGGCGAGAATATGACGGCGGACTCGCGGCAGTCCTCGCTCCACACGCGCGCCGTCCAGTCGCCCACCGTCAGGAAGTTCTTCAGGAAGCCGGGGTTGCGCCGCAGCGCCCACACCGGGCCCAGGTGGGCGTCGAACTGAGCAAATGTAAAATATATATCATTCAAGTAGCGCCACAAAGAAAGGAGGTGATTGAAGAGCGAGCGATTTGTGAGATCTAACGGCTTGTATGCATAACTTCTTAATGTCTCCCCATCCCATAAATCCAAGGCGTCGTTGTCCAATCCAATCCAATGTAGTAGACCACTAAACTACTACACGAAACTACTAGCACACACTTACCTTTCCTGGGAGTTTGTCCAGAGGCGTCTTTCCCTTACGGTTCCCACCGATCACGCAGCCATTCTCAGTCCCAACCATGAATCGCGTTGGAATCGTGGGCTCATATTCTAGTGCGCTGATTCCGAACGATGACGCCATATTTGGGACGTCATTCGCCGACTTGACCAAGTCAATGATCATTTCCTCCGTGTAGTCGTTCATGTTGCGGCAGTCCCACCACTTGCACGCTCCATCGGGGCTGGCGGAGAAAAATTCTTGGCCGGATTTGGAAGAAATGAATAGGACGTTTCGAACTAAATCACGATGAGCCACGTGGGGAGGGCAAGTGTTGACGGGCGGGCCGCCCTTGCGGCGGTCCCAGACGGCCACCTGCCCGTTGACGAGCGCGCCCGCCAGCACGTTGTGGTCGCGCGGGTTGTACTGCAGGTCGAGCAGCGTGCAGGGCGGCGTGACGGCGAGCAGCGGCAGGTTCGCGTTTTCCAAATCCCAGAAGAAGGCGTCGACGGAGCCGCGCGGGATGCGGTTGAAGTCGACGTCGACGTAGCTGACGGCGAAGTGGTGGCCGCCGTCGGGGTCCCAGGCCACGGAGCTGACGGGCCGGCCGGCGCCGGGCGCGCTCGGGTCGCGGTACACGTTCACGGTGCGCATGCTGTTCCGCTCCACGGCGGGCAGCGCGCTCATCTCCGCGTAGTACGTTTCGTACATGTCGATTGCATTATTTTGTAATACGTAGTGCTCCATACCCTAAAAAGCAAGATCAAAACAAATAAACAATTAAAACCTGAATTTACTTCAATAAATTATGTAATAAAAATATGACGTACTCCAGCAAGTGACATGACACAGTGTATGTAGCCGTCGTCCTTTTCAACTTTGCGCCGATAGCGCTGCGTGGCCTCGGGGTCGATGACGTTGACGTCCTTGGGCCAGCCGCCCTCGGCGTGGTTGGCGCCACTCGTGGAGTACTCCGCCCTGCCAACCGTACTTTCAATTAATCTGTTTTAAATGAGTGAATGAGAAAGCGAGTTCTATAAAATTTCTTTTTTCTTCTCGCTAGCTTCTAGCGCAAGCTATAACAAACCTGGCGTCAGACTTTACGAGCTGCTATTATAACGGGATGACTAACTAAACTGGCAGTCTGACATGACTCAATCAGTACGGCGGGCGGGCCCCTTATGAAGAAATAAACCAAACTGTTTATTCTAGTTTGCGGAGCAGGTTGTATACCGTCCGAGTGCCATTCCAAGGTGCGTTGCACAAGCTTGGAGTCGAAGCATCTTTGGACGCTGGCGCTCACCGGATGGTGTTGACGTGGTTCTCGGAGAAGAAGGGCGTGTTCTGCGTGGGCTGGTGCACGGGGTTGCGCAGGATGTACAGCTTCTGCTCCTTCTCGTTGGCGGCCACGGAGTCGCACATCTCGGGGCCCTGCTCGCAGAACAGCGGCTGCCGCCCGAAGCTGCATCGCACCTTTGTGTATTGATATGTTATTTCCATGGTCAAAATATGTAAAATATTACGAATGTATAAATCTCAAAACATCTGATTCTGCCGTCTTCATTGACAATGTCATGTGATGTCATGTCATAAAATTGCAGTGTCATGATTTTTTAACATGCATGTCCATTTGTATACAGCCTTATCACCTCAAACGCAAAACAGGGTTTGAAAAAAAAAATGGTTAGATAGCTGTCAAAACACAAGTAAAAAAATGATGCTTGAATTGGCTTGAATTTCTTTGAATTCTCAACCTTTGATAATTATAAATGATATTACTTATAATATGATATTTGGATGACTATGGTTCTATTTTCGCAGCCGATTGCAGCAAAAATGCACAAACAAGATTTGTCTTCTGAAGTGATGTGCGAAGCAGAGGTGTAGATGGTCAGGAGTCAGGTGCTCGCCGATGACGAGCCGCGATGGGGCTGGACCAGTTCCCGATGTTCCGCCTGGCGACGCTGCTGGCGCGCCAGCTCAGCTCGCCGGTCGCGGCGCGGATCAAGGTAGCGGGCTCGAGGGGGCAGTCAGTCAATAATACTATATGTTTAGTGAACAGAATATGTAGGTACTTCATATAAATTAGAACAGTATACATTTTAAATGTTATCCAAGGAATAATTAAATTTTAAAAAATCATACTAAGTAAAAATACACATAGGACCTACTTCGTTCGTTCGTTTGTTTCAGCCGAAAGACGTCCACTGCTGGACAATGGCCTCCCCCAAGGATTTCCACAAAGACCGGTCCTGCGCCGCTCGCTTCCAGGCGCCTCCCGCGACCTTTACCAGATCGTCAGTCCACCTAGTGGGAGGCCTGCCCACGCTACGTCTTCCGGCTCGGCATACCTACTTACCCTGATTAAATAAGTTTGCAAGAAGAGTCAGGCTCAGGCGCTGCGCAGGCGTTCGCGACGCGGCACCCGTGGGCGCGGCGCGCGCTGGTGGCCGGCACGGGCCGCGCCTACCGCGCCGCCGAGCTGCGCTGCAAGCTGTGGCTGCTGCGACTGGCCGCGCCGCCGCGCGCGCCGCCGCTGTCGCAGGCCGAGGCCGTGCAGGTCGGCGCCGACATCCTCGGTAGGTACTCCTTTTCCAATTCCAATCATTCGGTAGTGTGAAGGCCCCTTCAATCCCATCCCAACTAATATTATAAATGCGAAAGTAACTCTGTCTGTCTGTCTGTCTGTCTGTCTGTCTGTCTGTCTGTCTGTCTGTCTGTCTGTTACGCTTTCCCGCTTAAACCTCGCAACCGATTTTGATGAAATTTGGCATAGAGATAGTTTGAGTCCCGGGAAAGAACATAGGATAGTTTTTATCCCGGTATTTTCAACAGGGACGCGCGCGATAAAGTTTTTCTGTGACAGACAAAATTCCACGCGGGCGAAGCCGCGGGCGGAAAGCTAGTTTACAAATATGTGCGAGTACTTAGGTTAGCTCGTTCTACCACTACTTTGGGATAAATAATAGACGTGTAATAGATGATCGAGGAAAAGAAGTGATAACGGTTGATACTAAGAACACAGTCATAATAATATTAGGCAACTATTCCCCACATCTAGTTAAAATGTATTTTAGGTTTCTTGACACATTCGTATCAAAATATGAAAGTACATAATAAATGTACACTGGTATAATTATTTTTCATACTTTAATATTATTATTTTAGGTGAAATGATCATATTCAGTTTGGGCGCTGCCATAGTGACATTTGAATATAACAGACAAGCATATAACAAAGAACTTAAGGTAATGATGTGTTTATTATTTTAAAGGACACTACGTACCATATATTTCAAACCAGCACAGAATAAGTAATAGTACAGGTACAGAAGGATTACTCCGCAAGACGATTTAAATAAATGCGAGTCTTGCTACGACGCGATACAGTGGAATTCAGCTCGCACAGCACTACGTACCTACAATTTTATTCACCTACAAGTTTTGTCTCTTTCTATCGCGTGCCTCTGAACTCTTCTTACGCTGTTAGGGTTGCTGTCTAGTGAAAAAATAATTAATCTACTTATTTGTAATGAGGTACGTATGTAGGTAAGTACGCATTCATTACGGAAAACCTTGGGAGAGGCCTTTGTCCAGTAGTGGACGTCATTTGGCTGAAACGAACGAACGCATTCTGAGCAGTAAGTAGTCATGGTAGGTTAGGTTCCTATACTATCCTAAGAATTATTGATTCTACATGGCCACCATACCTTTCAGGCTGAAAGTTTCAGCATCTTTGAGAAGCGAAAAAAAAAGATAAATCCGGTAGATTTATTTTCGAATTTAAACACCCGAACGCCGCACAATATTTCTTTCTCTTTATGTCCATTTTTAAATAATACTTCGATTATAGAATTAGGTACTACAACGCACGCCAGCGTCCTGACGGGCGCGCGTGTGACACTCGACTGATATAATACCCGCCGGCGGGGCGCTTCGCTGTAGGTAATTATCGGATGTACCGCGCGGAGTGAGACAGGCCTGAAACCAGTCAAAAGAAGGTAGGTAATAAAATCAAGTCCAAAATAAGTTTAAATGTAACCTAAGTTTTGAGACAAATAAATACTGTCTATTTAAAATGCAGACAAATAATCACGTTATTTACTTAAACAAAACTGTGAAATAAATAAAATAATATAAATTATTACAATCATAATCATAATGAGAGAAGCGTACAGTCATTGTTTCACACAAACACACATTTGGACATTAGACAGACATAGTTGTAATGACTATTAATTTGTTTGTATAGGCGAGATAAAATAACAAAGCTTCAGGCAAGAGATACACAAGTCATTTACTGGGAGGCATGAACCAGCAGCGACACATTATTATTGCTACATTGTACCTATAACCCGTTTTCAGGAGTTGGATGAAAAATCCCAGTGGGTAGCGGTGCAGGTGGGACTCGCGGAGCTGCAGCGCGAGGTGGCGCTCCAGCAGGACGAGCTGGACCGCCTGCACGCCGCCCTGCGCGAGCTGGCCGCCGCCCCGCCGCCGCCGCCTCCGCCGCCGCCGCCGCCGCCGGCCGCCGGCCGCGGGCCTACAGCCGCAGCCGAAGGATCCATACCGCCGACAGCTCCGGCATCCACGCCATCGATTAAACGTCGTCCTCCACATTGTTAACACACTCTTATTGGTAAACAATCAATTTTATATTAGTAATATAACTTATTCATTTATTAAAATAAAACTTTGTACTTTCATTTCTTTTAGGAAAATCAGACTTTTTACCAATGTTTAACCCTAAACACCAAAACGTCACAGCTACAAAGTGGACAGACTAATCGTGGCAAATAATAACCGGTTGTTCTCAAGAAGAGTCTGTATATTTTAATCCTAGGATTCCCCTACACCATCAAATCACCCCTTCGAATTCAAGAGAGTGCAGATTCCCATCAAAGCATGCTTCGCCATGACCTTATACAAAGCTCAAGGTTAAACTCGGGGTCTCCGCTAAAGCTATTAACCTCGGAGCGGGTGCCGCCTACAGATGCATGACGGGCCATGCCGCGGGCATCCGCTAGCGCTGCATAAACTAATTTTGGTTCAAGATCTTTTTCTCATCTGGGGGCACGGCGGTGCCCCCGCCAAGTAGAGCGCGAAGCAAACACTGCCGTACTATCTATCTTTGCTGGAACCATTTCGCCGCATTTTCAGGCCCCTATTTGAGAACCTCTGGATAAGACCAGAACACAGAAATTTTCGTCATCCAGTAAGCTATAATCACATACTTAAAATCCAAAATTTCAAGTTTGTAGGTCATTTAGTTCTGAAGTTAAGCGAAAGCAAAGTTTTGCATTTATGACACTCACTCATGATAATCAAAATAGAATTAAGTGAACTTCCCATAAACTCAGAGTGCTGAAATGGCAATGCCAGATTTTGTATGGAAAGTGGCGTCTTTTTTTTTTCGCGCGGCCATCGACCAAACTTTGTTTTTTGATTACAAAATAGTGTAATAAACCAAACTTACTATGGCATGTATACCTCTAAACTCAGTCTGAACTGAGTTACGAGCATTAGAAGTTTGATGATTTTCATACTAGATTTGCTTTTTGTGTGCAAGTTTTGTAAGAAATTGCAACAAAATATTGCGCTATTTGTTTATTGCGCTGATTCTGCTCCATACTGATGTCTGGAGCCTTTAATGGATGGTATTGTTTGTTTACACATACAATCTCACTATTTTGTTGCAATTTCTTACAAAACTTTGCGCGCAAAAAGCAAATCTAGTATGAAAATCATCAAACTTCTAATGCTCGTAACTCAGTTCAGACTGAGTTTAGAGGTATACATGCCATAGTAAGTTTGGTTTATTACACTATTTTGTAATCAAAAAACAAAGTTTGGTCGATGGCCGCGCGAAAAAAAAAAGACGCCACTTTCCATACAAAATCTGGCATTGCCATTTCAGCACTCTGAGTTTATGGGAAGTTCACTTAATTCTATTTTGATTATCATGAGTGAGTGTCATAAATGCAAAACTTTGCTTTCGCTTAACTTCAGAACTAAATGACCTACAAACTTGAAATTTTGGATTTTAAGTATGTGATTATAGCTTACTGGATGACGAAAATTTCTGTGTTCTGGTCTTATCCAGAGGTTCTCAAATAGGGGCCTGAAAATGCGGCGAAATGGTTCCAGCAAAGATAGATAGTACGGCAGTGTTTGCTTCGCGCTCTACTTGGCGGGGGCACCGCCGTGCCCCCAGATGAGAAAAAGATCTTGAACCAAAATTAGTTTATGCAGCGCTAGCGGATGCCCGCGGCATGGCCCGTCATGCATCTGTAGGCGGCACCCGCTCCGAGGTTAATAGCTTTAGCGGAGACCCCGAGTTTAACCTTGAGCTTTGTATAAGGTCATGGCGAAGCATGCTTTGATGGGAATCTGCACTCTCTTGAATTCGAAGGGGTGATTTGATGGTGTAGGGGAATCCTAGGATTAAAATATACAGACTCTTCTTGAGAACAACCGGTTATTATTTGCCACGATTAGTCTGTCCACTTTGTAGCTGTGACGTTTTGGTGTTTAGGGTTAAACATTGGTAAAAAGTCTGATTTTCCTAAAAGAAATGAAAGTACAAAGTTTTATTTTAATAAATGAATAAGTTATATTACTAATATAAAATTGATTGTTTACCAATAAGAGTGTGTTAACAATGTGGAGGACGACGTTTAATCGATGGCGTGGATGCCGGAGCTGTCGGCGGTATGGATCCTTCGGCTGCGGCTGTAGGCCCGCGGCCGGCGGCCGGCGGCGGCGGCGGCGGCGGAGGCGGCGGCGGCGGGGCGGCGGCCAGCTCGCGCAGGGCGGCGTGCAGGCGGTCCAGCTCGTCCTGCTGGAGCGCCACCTCGCGCTGCAGCTCCGCGAGTCCCACCTGCACCGCTACCCACTGGGATTTTTCATCCAACTCCTGAAAACGGGTTATAGGTACAATGTAGCAATAATAATGTGTCGCTGCTGGTTCATGCCTCCCAGTAAATGACTTGTGTATCTCTTGCCTGAAGCTTTGTTATTTTATCTCGCCTATACAAACAAATTAATAGTCATTACAACTATGTCTGTCTAATGTCCAAATGTGTGTTTGTGTGAAACAATGACTGTACGCTTCTCTCATTATGATTATGNTTTCCGGCATTGTCTTTTGGTACAGAGTTAGGGTTTAATGGCCACATAAAGCGAAAACTATAAAAACTAGGACAATCGAAGATCTGGAGTACCTGGTGACCCTGATTAGAAAACACAAGAGCCCAACCAAACTATTAGAGGTCGACATACCGCCTTTACAAAAAATATTCAACTTGGTGGGCCACTTCATTTGATGTCAAAAATGGAAGGTGTGAAGATAAGTAAGGGAGAGTCCGGTAATTTGGACCAGTTTTTTTCAATCCCATTTTACACATAGTTTTCTTTTGTTTTTGCTAATGTTCATGGTATATAATTAAAGAGAAATTATTCAACTTACTATTTCATAGGTATTAATCAACACAATTGTCGTATATTTAGCACAAATCAACAAAATACAAGTTCAGAGCATCGGTCCAATTTAGCCAACCGGTTCGATAATTTGTACCACAGGGTTACTAAATTGGATTTCAATAAATTTCAAGCCTATAAAAAAACTATGGCAAAATATTATACGATAAATTCTTAACAAATTAGGTAACGAAAAGGAACAGTAGTTAATAACATAGACAATCGATATTGTTTTACACGTTATCACGATTTTGAGTAAAAGTTTTGTAATTCTAATTATCGTAACGCACACTTGTACCTAATCTACTTTGCCAGTCTTTTGCTTTCATTTATTGTTAGTCAAACATAACTACGCTATTATAACTTCAAAATATGATTTACTAAAAAAAATTTCAAAATCCTTTGGTAAAGTTCCATACAACTTGATGTGGTACAATTTAGCCGACTAGGTGATAGTGCTTTTAAAAAATCGGTAAAAAATATAGCAAATGGCAATGCCAGATTTTGTATGGAAGGTGGCGTTTTTTTTTTTTCGCGCGGCCATCGACCAAACCTTGTTTTTTGATTACAAAATAGTGTAACAAACCAAACTTACTATGACATGTATACCTCTAAACTCAGTCGGAACTGAGTTACGAGCATCAGAAGTTTGATGATTTTCGTACTAGATTTGCTTTTTGCGCGCAAGTTTTGTAAGAAATTGCAACAAAATAGTGACATTGTATGTGTAAACAAACAATACCATCCATTAAAGGCTCCAGACATCAGTATGTAGCAGAATCAGCGCAATAAAAAAATAGCGCAATATTTTGTTGCAATTTCTAACAAAACTTGCGCGCAAAAAGCAAATCTAGTATGAAAATCATCAAACTTCTGACGCTCGTAACTCGGTTCAGACTGAGTTTAGAGGTATACATGCCATAGTAAGTTTGGTTTGTTACACTATATTGTAATCAAAAAACAAAGTTTGGTCGATGGCCGCGCGAAAAAAAAAAGACGCCACCTTCCATACAAAATCTGGCATTGCCATTTAACAAAATTACAAACTAAACATGCATTGTCAAAAGTTACTTGAAAACAATGAAAAAATACTTTTCAAAATAAAACACACGTGTTCGTTGTCACGGCAAAAACCACATGGCCGATATTAATTGAATTTAGTTGTGTATCGCTGAGTGTTGCAATTACAGACATTCAATAAATACTTTACGAAATATGAGGGTGGTACAATTTACCCGGCGGTACAATATACCGAACTCTCCCCTATCTGATGGAGAACCCTCAGCTGGTCTCAGTTGTATTGGAGATAAATGGTAATGCCCCCTTCTACTATTGGTAAAAAAAAATAGTTTCTTACTATGAGAACGTAATACAAACATTAAAAAATCATAGAAGTTGAGGGTAGTAAAAGATCATAGCGTCAGGCGTAGATGCTTAGCAAAACAAAATAATTTTCGATAAATGCGTCCGCGTGCGTTTCTAACTAAACGAAAATAAATTTCGTTTAGTTAGAAACGCACGCGGACGCTCCGCGAAGTTTTAGCGTGGTTTAGCAAAGGGAGAGGCCCAGTAGACTAGAGGGAAAGCTGCTTCTCCCACGGCCTGTTGTATGTGGCTGCTTAGAGCACAGAGAAGCCTGGTGATTGTGGCACCCGAAGGAAAAACATTGTTTACAAAGAAATACTGCGGTAGGTGTAGTTTTCGATTGCGTTGTAAAAAGATAATAGCACAGTATACAGTGTGAGTCTTGATAAAGTTCACAATGAAGAGGTAATACGATAGAGATTAACAAATAGTAATAAAAATTGGTCAAGTGTGTGTCGTGCCACGCGCAGTGTAGGGTTCCGTAGTTGTCCGTTGTTAACACAATATATTCCAGAAGCAAGCAATTACTTCATCTAAAATCACTTTTAATAAGTACTTTAATAGTATCGTGTCCCACTTAGTATTCACAAAATACATATAACAATGGGGTGAGCATGGGTGTGAAAATGAAATTCCGTTCAATTCGAAAAAAAAAAGCCTAGGTACTATTACCTATTCTGTGATATAACGACTTTTACGCGGACGAAGTCGCGGAAAAAAGCTAGAAGGTAAATAAAAATAAAGAATATTTTGTAATGCTGCTGTTTTAAATTATATTTTCCGTTTAAGAAAAGCCGTATTATTGTCGTTACTACAGTTCGCTAACCACAGCGCTCGGGCCAGGCGCGCTGGCAGCGCCGACGGCGGGCCGGGCGGCGGCGGGCCGGGGCTCGGCGGCGGGCGCGCCGTAGGGGTCGTAGCAGTACAGCCTGGTGTACATGTACGCGGTGCCCTGCAGGTGGCCCGTGCGCTTCACGTGGCCCGCCACCAGACTCTTCAGCGTCACCACGGGCGACGCGCCTACGTCGCACACCACGACTTCCGTGCCTTGGTGATGCGTATACGAAGGACATATCTGCATAAATTCGACGGATAAATTGTATCTGTTAGCCTAGGAGAAGACCACCGATTTTTAGTCGGCCGATAGTTGGGCCCGATTCTAATTTTGGAAAAATCAATCGGTGTAATGTGCGCACTTCCATAAATGCCTAAACTGATTAAATGCTCGACTAAACTATCGGCTGACCAAAAATCGCTGGACTGAGCATAGGCTTAGACTAGGCGCAGACCACCGATTTTTAGTTGGCCGATAGTTGAGCCCAAATCAAATACTTAGGTGTAATGTGCGCACTACCATACATGACCATACTGATCAAGTGCCCGACTAAACTATCGGCCGACGAAAATTCGATGGTCTGCGCCTAGGCTTACAGTCAAAACTCATAATCGTTCAAAACCACTTTTGACTGCAAAAAATCAGTCAAAAGTCTATAGAGCGGCAATACTTACGTTAGGTATCTTTGTAATTTCCCAATGGGCTTGATCAGGTTGTAACTCTTGAACTCCCAAATAGACCTCGATTCCATGTAAATATCCTGAAAATTAAATAGCAATCTTATTAATATAATGTAAATATTTTCATTTTAATATTTTTTAATTTACTTTAAATGCAATTGAGCTTACTGATAGATCCAAAGCGCGCACATTGCCATTTTGAAATTACATTTAATGGAATTCATGAAAGTTGAATAGCGTTTTATGGATTGCATATAAATTTAAGTATAAAGATAGGACCTAAACTTAAAAAACTCAACTGCGTAAAAATGAACTAAAAGGATAATTTAAACAAGACAATTCAGCCATTGATAGTGTTCACAAATGCAGTCGGAGGCATCAATGACTAATTATTTTGTTGGTGTTAAGTATTTTGATGCCTCCGACTGCATTTGTGAACACTAAGGCTGAGTGGTCTTGTTTTCTTTTTAGTTCCTTTTTACGCAGTTGGGTTTTTTGTTTATTCAAATTTCGTTTGTCACAGATCGTCATAAATTATAGCCCATACGTTATCGTGGGTTATAAACAGTAATACTGTAAAGTTTCATCAAAATCCGTTCAGTAGTTTTTGCGTGAAAGAGTATCAAACATCCAGACATCCAAACTTTCGAATTTATAATATCAGTAGGATAATTTTATTTTAATCTTTTTAGTTAAATAACATACATTTTTGTAAGCTACTTAAAAAGCCCTTTATTTTGATACCCCACTCGATAGGTTTTGAGAGAAATTTTTTTTTTTTAAAACCTGGCCCCTAAAATCCGCCAATTTGTTTTATTCAATTTTAACATAGCCAGTGTTACTTTCACGATTAAGACGGTCAAGCCGTTTAGGCTGTAGGCCGTGCCAAAGAAATATACATACATACATACACTCGAAAAACATAACCCTCCTTCTGGCGCAGTCGGGTAAAAAACAATTATAGTGAATAGGCACTTACAGGGCAGATATGTACCATCCTAGACTGCATCCCACTTAACATCAGGTGCGATTGTGGTCAAATACCTACCTTGTTATGCATAAAAAAAAAATACCCATAATTAGTATTGATTTTTTGTCGCAATTGTAGAAAACTGAAGAATTCGTATACGGGTAAATAACTAGGAATGACAAATCTCCCGTGTGAAATTTGTTTGTACTAAGTCTGACTTAATAACTAAATAACTAGCTGACTTTTTAGCTTACCTTTTTCTGCTCTAGAGCAGTAGTTGGATTCTACGCGGGCGACAGCGACAACAGCGAGCAGCGCGATCAAGGCGCTGCGGGGATACATGCTTGCGGCGGCGGCGGCGGCGGCGGCGGCGGTGGCGGCGGCGGCGGAGGCGGTGGCGGCGGCGGCGGCGGAGGCGGTGGCGGCGGCGGCGGACTCGCGGTGGAGGGAAGGAGGGGCCAGCGGGAGCGGCACCTTCTACTTAGTGACCCCTGTGTGGTTGTTTTATATACCAATCTCCAATTCCATTAAAACATGATAAAATATAAAATACAAACATACATTTGATATTATGTTGTGTTTCATTATGCGGTCAATTTAAAGCAACACCAATACTTAGCAGGCGATAAGTACCTAATAAATGAAACAAAATCAAAAAGTACCTATAATTCAATTGAATTTCAAAAAATTCAAAAAGTTTTAATCGATACAATTTTAAAGCCTAAAAATAATAAAAAATATCTAATTTTAAAATGATAAGGAACGAAGGTTCAAAAGGTGTATGAAATTGCCGTTTTGTGTGGAGAATTTAACGAAAATCATTTTTCCATACAAACGATGAATTGAGATGATGAGTATTATGATCACGTGAATCAGGGTCAAAATCGGGATTATACTGTCCCACCAAAAACATAAATGTAAAAAAGGAGAGCCAAGTTCAATAAAAAAATGTGCCTTGTAGATAAGTATATAACACACGTAGTTTTATGTGTTTACGTTAAAGAGGTTTTGAGTTAGAGAAGCGTCAAAATTGGCACCAAATGGTTCGTGTAATATTACACTTGGCGCTGGCTAGCCAGTTCCTTTGCTTGAACTTGTAGATTTTAGATATCACTAAAATCTAAAGTATAAGAGCTATATGCAATATAACTTTTTTTTTTTTTTAACATTTTTAAGTTTCCAATATTGACATTATGTATATCCCGAGAATTTTGTTTCTTTAGTACGATGACCCAAGGAAGATTCAACAAACGACGATCACGAACCACTAAATGAGTGCAAACTAGCATTAAACGGGTCTTTAAGGAAAAGTATGTACAATGCAATGTAAAATGTTAAAGTTGTTAAATAAACTTTCATTATTATTTACTTCGAGAAAAGTTAGATCCTTTGGCTTCGCCTGGCTCGACTCGGCGGGAACATTCCAGTGCTTCCAAATTTATTAAACTAAAGATTGAACGAACGAGCTTTGAAGTCATGCACTTCCATTTATCTGCTCACTACCTACAGCAAATTAGGATGGCACAATATAAAACATTATCTTTTTAAGTGTTTTATTTATTCCATCTCTATAAAATTAAATGGTATTGTTTTGCTGCAGCTAGAAGTTTACATTACGCAGTCTATTTGTCAAGGTAGCGTAAATAATTGCTTTCTAATTATTCTTATTGCATTGGACATGCCTAACTAGTAAATAATATTACGATTACGAATACCTAATGCCATTGTTTTTTTTCTTTGTATTAATTTTACACGGCTAATAAAACTTGCGTGCACAAAATAATATTATATTTTTATACATGCACTAGCGGCCGTCCGCGACTTCGTACGTGTGGATCCCGTTTTACCCCCTAAAGGGTTAAATTTTGCAAAATCCCGCCATAGTGAGCACCCACATTCTAAAAGGAACCCCCATGCAAAATTTAAGACTCCTAGCACTTGTTGTTTCTGAGATTTCGTGATGAGTGAGTGAGTCAGTCTGCCAATCAATCAGTAATCTTTCACTTTTATAGACATACTAGCTGTGCCCGCGACTTCGTACGCGTGAAAACCCGTTTTTGCAACATTTTTCATTATTGCTCTGCTCCTATTGATCGTAGCGTGATGTTGTCCTCGATAAATGGGCTATCTAACACTGAAAGATTTTTTCAAATCGGACCAGTAGTTCCGGAGATTAGCGCATTCAAGTAAACAAACAAACAAACTCTTCAGCCTTATAATATTAGTATAGATAAATATATTAAGTCGGTATAGTTAGATAGGTAGATAGAAGATATAATCACAGGGCTGAGGTCCGCGTAGATAAGTTTTGTCCGTGCCTGTAGGAATTTTCGCGATAAACTCAAATAGTATTGAACGGATTTTCTTTTAGGTATCTTTCTGTAGTAGACCGAGATTCACACGAGCCTAACCCGTGGTTAAACGATCATAGCAAATGTTGTGATAGGGATAGAGACATGCGATTTTTGGTTTTACAAAGATAATACGATAGAGAATAATAAAAAGTAATAAAAACCACCTGTTATAGGGGCATTTTTAGGAGAAATTTATCAAATAACAAAAAAAAAACACGAGTTTAAAAGCAGATTTTTTTCAAAAAGTAAGTATCATTTTTTATTATTTGTTGGCATTTTTTGTGTATTTTATGTATTTTTTTAGTATCGCCTGTTATTTAGCATTATTACTGTTTTTATTTTATCAGGATATACCGCTTAGTTTAAAAGTTATTACGTTTTCTTTACAATAAGTAATTAAAAGAAAAAAAATTCTATAAAAAATTAAAAAAAAATCTCAAAAAATTTTTGACCTCTTTTTTGTCGATAAAAATAGGTCTAGTTTCATCTATTTTTATATGTACACTTTAACGTGACTCACACTGTATAATCCAGTAGGTATTATTAAATGTATGTATAACCTTGTATTATTAATTAAATCAATAGTTACGGGCACGGTCATGCATTTTACTACCTATTTTGATCAGCTTACGGGTATAAATATTACAGCAAGGCTTGCCGCTGCTTCGTAGCTCGTGGTCCACTGGCAAAGCAGCATGTTCCTCGCAGTCGCGCTCCTGGCGCTGCTCGCCTCGGCGCGCGCGCAAGGACAATGTCAAACTGATATTACAGGTACAGAATGCTCTAAGCTAAGTGTTAGACGAAACGAGACTAAGGCTGAGTTGCACCATCTAATTTTGACAGTAACTTTAACGATAACCGATGTTTTTTGTATGGAATTTGACAGATTTTTGACGTTTGTCAAAGTTAAAGCAAGTTGGTGCAACTCATCCTTAGCTGCACCATTTCACTTTAACCGTAACTACAGGGAGATAGGTCTTTTTATGGAATAGGAGATAGGAGGTAAACACAAAATCTGTTTTGTGCATAAGATAATAAACCGGGATTACGTATACTATAACTTTAAAAATGACAAATAGTTTCTATGTATAATGCCGCCTATGTAATTTTGTCGATTAATTATAATAATAATTATTTTATGACTGATTTTTTAAAGTTGACTCGATGTATTTTCATGTGGTAGCAAGATAAACGTTTTCTATTCTATCATTTTCTATTCTATCATCTTCGATTCTACAATGGTTTTTAAAATTAGGGACCTAATTTTTTTTAATAAAGATTACTAGCAATTTGTATTGCGCAAATTACATAGTAAAAAAAAACTCATTAAAACTCATTTATTTCTGTAAATAGGCTTAAAAAAAGCACTTTTAGTACACTATGTACTAGCTTAAACCATAGTAGATTTAAAGATAACCCATCTCAAAACTGATTTAAAATGTTTGCAGGCGATACCTCTGGGAAGGTAGTTGTTCTTCGGGACCAAGTAGTGCCGGCAGGTACACGTGATATGGAAATCACTTTGGCAGCTAATGTAAGTTTTTATCGCTGAATTCATTCTGCTTACTTTTAATGATATAAGCTGAAACCCCTATTTTTACAAAAGAGTGTCCTTGATTATTATTAGTACAAAAGTGATCATGATAAATAATAAAGGACATTGTCAGAAACCGCCTAAAAAACCGCCCAAAAACATTAACCCATCATAATTATTTTCTTTTTTTTTTAATACATTAAGCACCCTTTCGTTCTAATGGACACTTAAGCATTGAAAAATTAAATAAATAAGTCTTTTAACGTTTATTCTATAATACTATTACAACTTCCGGACGTTTTGGTGCGTGGCATGGTCTAAAACCTATCAAGTTCCATAATTTTTGCCGATAAAATCTGTACGAGGCATTACCGTACTTTATTGCTGGGAGTCCATGTATAGTGATGTTCCTGCGGCCATCATAGACAATAAAATATCGATTTTGAAAATAAAAATATCTATAATACAATAGGAGTTTATTTCATGTGTCAGATGACAAGGGTGGAAACAACCTACGATTCATGTTGTTTATTTACGTGCAATATGTGGGCATATTATAAAAGTGGAATGCCGAGTTGTATTTCTAAAACTTGTTCTATTATTTTATACTATTTGGCTGCGACTCGGCGTGACGACAATACAAAACATTTTTCGCGAATCGGTGTTCATACATTCACACAATACATTAGACGCCATGTTGTCATAAACGACATATTATAAAATCGCTGTGATTTAATATTCTTAATCATTAATTTTATGGCAAGTGTCCATCAGGAATCATTGTTCTTACACACAGAATCGTATTATTTCGCTTTCGGGTAGTAATATGTCAAAATTGTTGGTTCTTAGGCGAACAATGTATGGAGAACGAACATTGTCCTTTCAGGATTCCTTCAGTCGTCTGCTTCAATTGATTTCACACAATGGCTTTAACTATCTTTCGGTATTCACTTCTCTTCAAAACTTTCTGAAATTCTAAATTGTCAACTAGATGAACGACCTTGGACTCAAGCTGCACTCCCTATTCGCCATGGTGGTTTTGGCACCCGCAAAATTTGCAACCAAATATTGCGCTATTTTTTTATTGCGCTGATTCTGATGTCTGGAGCCTTTAATGGATGGTATTGTTTGTTTAAACATATAGGATAGAATGTTGGTGAATCATGTAGTTTGAGTCATCGTGGCTTTGGTAGCTATCCTAAAAAACTGTCTGGCAAGGAGTTGGAACTGTCAAAATTGTCTGCAGGCGCTACGGCTGCTTCAGCGGAATTTAAAAAAAAGCAAATTTTCCGCTTTTGACAGCTGCTACCGTTTTGTACTTACCTTTCGGCGTGGAAATGCTGGGACCTTGGGGCCCGGAAGCCAAAAAGCTATTCACTGAGCTTTCCACTCGCATCATCGAGGTTACTGGTGACCAGATGGCCAGGTTCTACCTTGGCCAGCGTCTTAGCGATCAAACGCGGAAACGCTGCCAGCCTTCTGGGCACCGCTAACCTCACTGACGAATCTGGGGATACTTTTTTAAAGTTGTTCTTGTTTGAATAGTGTAATTGGTACTACCGTTCTATTCATGAATAAAATAAATAAATAAATAAATAAATAAATAAATAAATAAATAAATAAAGTTATTTGTTTATATTCTTTTATTTTCCTTTTTTGTAAATATAGTAGGTATTATCTATTTTATATATTATTATATTTTAGTTATTGTTTGTAAATTACCTTACTTGTAAAAATGTTTAAATCTATAATATAAAAATGAATCGCAAAATGTGTTGGTAAACGCATAGTTACTTAACTCAACAATTCCTGGATCAATTTTACCAATTCTGTAAAAAAAATGTTCGTTGAAGTCTAAGGATGGTTTTTAAGGCGAGATTTGCAAAATTCAATCCTTAAAAGGGTGGGACGAAGTTGCGGGCGACCGCTAGTTGTAAATAAATTATTTTTAATTTGATGCGTAAACGTAACGATGGCTGAATTTTTTCTTACCTGAGTAGGTACATCCTATAAAGATAAATAGTTTGGGACTCAGGGGAAAATATTAGATCGCAATGTACCTATAACTTGTTGTCGTCTCTAATGTGGTGTTTGTTTGCAGGCGTGCGCGTCGGAGCCGGGGCGGCAGCACGAGGGCACGGCGGTGACGGTGTGCGACTGGGACGCCGCGCCGCGCGTGACGATGCTGAACGTGCGACAAGCGCGCGTGACGCGCACGGGCAGCGCCGTGCAGACCGCCGTCGTGCACAGCACCGCCTACTGCAAATAAACTGCGCCTCAGTTGCTAAGACCCCAGTATTTTTATGAAGTCTCCTTACTTACCATCCTCTAGGATACAATAGTTATGATACGATTCCCACCACGTCGACGTGTCGTTCCATTTTTCATTTTGTGAAATCTAAATTAAATAACAGGTTATACATAATACTTATCATGAGAGTATCAGGGTTACTGATCACTTAGTTAGTTAGTTTACTACTGATCACTTTAATTGAAAATGGATAAGAGTTGAATTAATAAAGTTACAAAATTTAAAAACTGCTAGGTACCTACTTTTATTTTCATCCCACAGTTGAGATTCAAGCCTGTGATTGTCATAAATAATTTTTTTTTATACATTTTACAGTATATCCGGGCATGTAATGATCTAACTTTAAGGGCGTAATCTATGGACAATTTTATTGGTGAAAATACTTCAAAGGGGCTTGACCCATTTCTCGCAAAATTACAAGGATTTAAGTTTTTAATTTTTAATTTTCACCTCTTCCTCCAAAAACAAGTGAAAACGTGGGTAACTTAACACTAATATGCAAATATTTTATATCATGCGATAACCAATAAAATTATTTATTAGTGGAAGTAGAAAACTGACACAAGTTTCATATACAGTGTGAGTCACGTTAAAGTGTACATACGAAAATAGATGAAACTAGACCTATTTTTATCGACAAAAAAGAGGTCAAAAATTTTTTGAGATTTTTTTTAAATTTTTTATAGAATTTATTTTCTTCAAGTTACTTATTGTAAAGAAAACGTAACAGACACAGATTTAGACAGACAGATTTTTTTCAAAACGTATCTTTTTTAATATTTGTTGGCATTTTCTGGGTATTTCATGTATTTTTTTAGTATCGCCTGTTATTTAGCATTATTACTGTTTTTATTTTATCAGGATATACCGCTTAGTTTAAAAGTTATTACGTTTTCTTTACAATAAGTAATTGGAAGAAAAAAAATTCTATAAAAAATTAAAAAAAAACCCCAAAAATTTTTTGACCTCTTTTTTATCGATAAAAATAGGTCTAGTTTCATCTATTTTTGTATGTACACTTTAACGTGACTCACACTGTATTTTAAAAGAGTCAGGCCCTTTTCACACGTCCCGGTTGCCGGCTAACCGGCGCCGGGTACCCGGTCGTGAAGTGTATGGGCATGCCGGATTAATTACGCCGGAACATGTGAAAGCTACGTACCATGCCCATACACTTCACCACTGGATACCCGGCGCCGGTTAGCCGGCAACCGGGACGTGTGAAAAGGGCCTAAGAATGGATTTAATTAGAAAAAACCTTTTTTTTTACTTTTTTTTCAGTTATTTTCCAACAAGAAAAACCAGGTCGTTAAAGTATGTTTTAGTCTACGTCTATTAGTTTCAACCTCAGATCATAGCTATGATCTGAGGTTTCGACGTAATGGTTGAACAAAGATACCCCTTCCCAGCGGTTCCATAGCCCTGTTAGCATGCGAGAATGCACTGCCTGAAAAACCTATTCCGACTACATGACTAGCCTAGGCTAACTAGTACATTATCCTTGGACATTTTTCATTGCGCCTCTAGTCCTAAACTAAGGAAAGCTTACTTGTACATACAATGAGTACTACCTAGACAACGGATATTTATAAATATAGCTAAATACTTATTTTTGTAAATTACATACCTAAATTATTATAGATCCCATCAAAAACATAAATGTGAAATGAGAGCCAAGTTCAATATTATGATAATATGCCTTGGTTTTTGACTTCAACCCGTCCTGATTAATAACAACATAAAATATCGTTTCTTCTTATCCTACTAATATTATAAATGCGAAAGTTTGTGTTGATGTCTGGATGTTTGTTACTCTTTCACGCAAAAATAAGTATTATTGTTTGTAACCCAGATAGGTATATGCTATATACCCAGATATAGGCTATAATTTATGCCGATCTGTGATACTAAATTTCACGCGGGTGAAGCCGCGGGCAAAAGCTAGTAAACTATATTTTAGTTTTCTGTCTCGTAATAATTATGTTAAGTAAAGTGTGTAGGTATTATTTTATAACTGTTCTTGATGGACGTTTTGGGTAAAACAGTTAGGCGGTTATCACACTGCGCTGCGCTCCGCCGCGGAGCGCGTTATTTCATATAAAAAATCACGCGCGCAGACGCGTTGTCAGTGTGAAGTGCCGCGCGTGTTTTCTATACAAATTGATGTACTTGCATAGATGATTAAATCTGTCGCGGCGCAGTGTGATAACCGCCTTAGTCAACAGTAAATTAATAAATAAATAAAATAAAATAAAATATAAAAACATTGAAATCAAATCAAAAATATTTATTTGTAGAAAAAAGGTTAGGTTAGGTTAGTATGTTAGAAATCATCAGGTAGTCGGTCGGTACCACTATGTTTGGCCAACTTTTTGTGCTCTTGGTCGCGCTCGCGCCTCACAGAATGCGCTGGTGGCCGTGGGACGCCATCGCGCGGGTAATCCGCGGACAGATTGCGCTGACGTCAGCGGCCGCTGCGCTCATTACGGCAAGAAACGCTTTTGTGTCGTGTTTATTTCTCTTTTCACCGAGCACAATGGGCCATTGTAACGCCGGACGCAATCAGCAAGCGTCGACAGGTCGACACCCCTGCCTGCGACTGTTCCGCAATATCCAGTGATTTGCATCGATCGCTGCTTCAAATACCATGTTGCGTGTTTGTAATTTAAGCAAACTAGCAATGGATGTGTTTCATTCAAAACGGTTGTTTGTAACGATATAAAAAGTAGAGATGCGCTTGGCGAGCCATTGTTTCGGGATCGGGACAGTTAAGTTATATTTTTCGTGCGACTCCTTCCTGCTCACCCGCCGCCCGCCGCGATCGCCACGCCTACGCGACTGCTCTGCTTTTAGTCATAGTCATAGTCATAGTCATAGTCATATATGTTTATTGCATCATGTTGGTACATTTGGATCTTAAATATTAATACAGAGTCCCGAAACATGGCCCTGTAAGGGCATTGCAACATTATAGGTACATACAATATTAAAATCTAAATTATCAAAATAACAATATTACAGACAATTGCTTAGGTATATTTATTTATTTATCTAGATTTGAGATCAAAGAATTCTTTTAACGTGTAGAAACATTTACTTAGTAGCCATTCTTTTAATTTTTTACAAAACAAATTATCTTTTTCAATGCCTTTTATTTCCTTAGGTATCATGTTATATATTTTTATTGACATATGATAGGTTCCTGAGCTAACTAGATGTAATTTAGTGAAAGGTGGAACTAGTCTATTTCTATGTCTAAGGTTTCTTTCCTGAGGATAGAGATCTTTGGCTTGGGAATATTCATGACAATTTTTTCTCACAAGTTTACATATTTCTATAATATACAAAGAGGCGAGTGTAAGAATGTTAAGTTTTATGAAGTGAGGTCTGCAACTTTCCATATCTGTAATGTTAACGAGTATTCTAATACATCTTTTTTGCAATATAAATAATTGATTTACTTCCGTACTATTACCCCAAAGAATGATTCCGTAGTTTAACCAAGAATGAGCATATGCATAATAGGCGCTGGTTGCAGTTTTTAAATCTGTACATTTTTTTAATTCATATAGTGCATAAGTAAATTTCGATAGTTTAGCGGCTATTTTCTCTACATGTGGTTTCCAATTAACATTTGTATCTATTTCTATCCCTAACATGGTAGACGAGGTCACAAAATCTATGTTACTGTTATTAAATGTTACATCTATTTTAAGGGGTTGTTTTTGCCTTGGTTTAAATTGCAATAATTTTGTCTTGGATATGTTAATTTCTAAATTGTGGTCCTGTAACCAGTTCAATATTTTATCCAGTGTACTCTGAAGTTGCTGTTGTAGTTCTTGGCTGTTGGCACATGGAAAAACTACAGATATGTCATCAGCATATATTACACATTTGTTATCTATACACGTTGCGACATCGTTAATATAAATTATAAATAAAATACACCCTAATACACTACCCTGAGGTATTGAACGTTCTACTTGAAGTTTTTGTGATCTAATACAATTTAATATGCCAGAATTACAGTCATAATGTTCGATTTCTACAAATTGTGCTCTTTCACTTAAATACGATGCAAACCATTTGTGGGCTATTCCTCTTATACCTATATCGTAAAGTTTTTTTAATAGAATTTTATGGGAGACTCGATCGTACGCCTTACTCATATCTAACATTATTCCTATGGCATACTTATTAGTATTTATAATATTCAAAATTTCATTAACATATTTATAAACTGCTGTAATAGTGGATCTTTCTTTGCGAAATCCGTTCTGACTTTCATTAAAAACACTGTATTTTTCGCAAAAGGAGTGGAGGCGGATGGCCATTGCGGTTTCAAAAATTTTTGAAAAAGTTGACAAAAGGGATATTGGGCGAAAGTTTTGGGGTTCGTTAGCTTTAATTTTTTTAGGAATAGGTTTGACTAAGGCAATTTTTAATAAATCGGGAAACGTAGCTTGATCAAAAGATTGGTTGATTAAAAATGTAAGGGGTTCANGTAATTCATAGTCAGTCTCGTACCGGGATTCTTTTAGTCCGTACAGGACTACCGTCTTATTTTGGATGATTGGATCAGGCGCTGCGCTCGATGGGCGTGCGGCGGTCACACTGGCGTATGTTGGTTGGGATGACTTGTTTTTATTTACACTGCATGTCTCATTTACACTGCATGTCTCATTTTGTTTATTTTCTATCAATTCCTGCCGAAGTTGCATGTTTTCCTTTTCCAGCTCGCTAATTCGTTTTGTATTGTTATCTGCAGTTTTTCGTAGGGCTTTCAGTTCTGTTTCGAAGGATGAATGTTGGTTGGTCATGTTGTGTATACACGTTTGTAATAATTTTATTGTATCTGAAAGCTCACGGTCCCGGACTTCCTGTTTTACTGCTTGTGTGGATATCTGAGCCCGCAATTCTCTAAGCTCAGACAACAGAATCGCCTCCATGTTAGCATTTTGCGTCGAATGTTTCATAATGGTATCCCCGTTGGGAGGGCTGTCATCCAGAACTAGTGAATCCTCCTCATTTTGTGTCATAGAAATTTTACGTCTCAATGTTACATTATTATTGTCCGTATAGAGGTTTTCTGGTTCTCTGACTGGTGTATTTGTGTTATCTTGCCTTGGTAGGTTCGACTTACATTTCGGGCATTTCCAACATAATTTGCGTTCGGCGCTCATCAAATAAAATATCTTTTCAGATACATTAACACACAGTATGTC